CGAGGACGGACGCGGGAGAGCTGACGTTCACGATGCTGATCTACGTTCTGCCCACTGACTCTGATGGGGTGCAGTCTGTGCTGAAGTATATCAAGTTCGACGACAGTATCCGCGTGGACTTTGTGAAAGATGCGTTCATCGCGGGCGCGCCGCTGACGGCCCACTGGGGCCGCACTCCTGACGCGAAGAGGTTTCGCAAGTTGTTCCACGTCATGATGGGCCGCCTCGGGGGGCGCGCAGCACCGATGCTCCGCGCAGCCGTCCGCGAAGAAGGCAGTTGAAGCGGGCACTTACGACAGGATCGCTCGGACGGTTGGTTACGCCTTCGTTCGCGATCATGGACCGCGGAGCAACGCCCAGAACCAACGCGTCGAGTGGGCGGATGATCAGATCCACCTCGAGAGCAGTCCGATATTCGGGTGCGCGCCTGGGGATGTCAAGGACCAGTCAGCTAAACGGACGCGCGGCGTTGAGCGCATTTCTCTTCGCGCAGGACGCGGACCTGAGCGTCGCGCCAGCTTGAGGAGAGTTGCTCGGGCGCGCGTCCGTTTGGCAGCTTCGCGGGAGTGCTCGCGGAACTACGCCCGCGGCACCGCGGGCGCGCGGACGTCGATGTCGCGGCGCCACGCGTTGAGGCAGTTCCACCCGACGATCCTGAACAACATCTTTGCCCCCGCGCTGCGCGCCCACGACGCGCATTCGATCACGTGAATCGGGGGGACTCGCGTCGGGAAGCCGCCCGCTTCTAAGACGACCTGCATTGCCATCTCGGCCTGCCAGATCGACGAGCACGGCCGCTCTGACCTGAAGCCGAGCGCCGTTCCCTCCAAGAGAGTTGATTTCTTTCGCCAGGAGCCAGGGGGCCTCTTCAAGCCCGCGATCGACGACGCCACGGCGATTTCGAAGTGGGGCGCAGACGACGCCGAGGCGTTCCGCGACCCGGCCGAAGAGGGCGCCTCGCTCTGGGCTCGATGGGGCGGCGCGCAGTTCATGATGAACCAGGCGCGACAATCCTGCGGAACGCCTACGACAAGGCATTTGAAGCCCAAGTCCAGCCCGTTCGGCCTGGAGCCGAGGCAATCTCCACGACGATTTCGCCCGCGTTATTCAGGCGAACTTCCCCCGCGACGCGCGGGGGCCTTTCGAGATGACAGACGCGGAAGCGTACCTCGCGAGAAGCTACGTTGGCCTCTTGTCGGACAGGCGCATTTACTTCCGCCTGGCTTCCACGGACAAGGGGTCGGTGCCGTTTTTCGCCCGGCCGAACCCAGCCCAGCCCGACTTGCTCGCGCCCGAGAGTAGACGCACCATGAAGATGTACGAGAAGGATCAAACGCACAAGCCGCCTTACTTCGAGATCGACTTCAAGCGGGGCCAGGCATTCATGCGGAGGCTTGCAAGAGGCGAGGCAGTGCAGCCAGCCGCCACAGCGCGAGGCCCCACGCAGTTCGGCGTCCAGGCGTCAGACCGCTTCTTCGACCCTCCGGTGGGCGAGGGAACGGAGGCGCCGACGCGCGCGGCTCTCCCTCTGATGGGCGAGAGCACAGAGGCGCCGCCGCGCGCTGCCCTTCCGCGCGGCGGCTGCCCAGTGGACTCGCAGGACAAGATCGAGAGGGGCCGCGAGATGGCCAAGCACCTGGGCGCTATGGCGAGGGCGCACGACCGCGAGATCATCGACCTCCTGAGCCCACCCAAGAAGGCCGCGAAGAGCTTCAATAAACTGTTTGCGCCTTGTCCTCGAAACGTCGACTTGGACGGCGCTTCCAGCGAGGGCCCACCATCGGCGCGGCGCGCGCGCCGCGTTCGACGCCGCGGATGCCGACGAGGAGGCCGCGGCAGCGTTGTGGTTCATGTCAGAGCAAGCGGAGGCGGAGGCGGGCATGCCCGCCCCCGCGCGACCACGCGCGGCCACGGACAGCGGCAACCTTCGCCCCGCCAAGTTGGAGCCAGGCGCCTTCGCCAAACTGGCGCCCTCGGGCGGGCCGCGGCTGATCGTCGACGACAGCGACGAAGAGGCGCCCCATGGCACGGGCGACGGCCTCTTCGGTGCAGGTTTGAAAGATTGTTCCATGGTCGACGCCCTGAACGCCCTCGGATTCAACGTTCCGCGCACACGGGATGGTCCGTTCAGCACCAACGATGCCGAGGCCATGATCGCTGGAGACGGGTACGCGATCGCCCGTTCGTCCATCCGCGGAGCTTGCGCCGTGCCCACAGGCCGCTACACCGCAACGTACGGCCCTTCGCCTGGGCTGCGGGGCACGCCGTGGTTGTTCCCGTCTTCCTCTGAGGATTCGTCGCGTTCGACGGCGATGCGCGCGCCTGCAGCGCGGGCCACGTCTCGTGGCATATCATGCCTCAGCCGAGGAATGCAAGTGGTGGCAGGTTCGGGGTGCCTGAGTAGGCGAAGCCTTCGCCGCGCCTTCGCCGCGCCCGCCGCGACGGCGATGCGCGCGACGCAGCGGCGCGCATGATGATTCCCCGACCCTCGCCCCCAGCGGGGCGCAACCGTACAGGCGCCATCGGGGACACACGAGACATATGTTGTGCATCTTGGGGACGGGGGCAGCGCCTGTGAACGGGGCAGGGCGATGCGACGGCCATGCTCAATTGGGAAAAAGTCAACAACGCTTGTTTCCTCTTGCCGCTGTCAAATTTGCGATTGCGCGCGGTCGCACTTGTAGCCCATGTGTTTGCCGATCATGGTGTTCGGTCCGTGGTACGTTGGTTCATGCCTTGGCGTTGCATTGCTGCCTCGCCTCTCCAATTGCCGTTCACCTCTTCACTCATGCCTCATGGTGGCAAGGTTTCGCAGGCGGACAAGCACAAGCGTGCGCACCGCGTGCAGCAGGCTACGTTGGAACGGAAGCCCAGTTGCGCGACTCCCCATGTTAAGGAGTTGTCTGGCATTCGCAGGGTGTCGCTGACGGGGGGAAGCCGCATCAACAATGCACCGATGATGAAGAAGGGTAGAGCGGCAACTAAAAAAAGCGGGCCCTGGTCCATCCTACATTCTTGCGAAGCACAAACAAGTTGATCGCCCTTCTCTCGCCGCGCTCCTTATATCCCAGAGAATCGCCGCGGTCGACATGGCGCGCATCAGTCCCGACCTCCTGGCGCGCATCATGATAGAGATCGGGGTGCTCCCATCTGGGGGGCGAGTGCACGGCGTGCCAACGCGGCACAGTGGAGTTGAAACTTCGGGGTGGCCAGTCGCACAAGGACATCCAGGCGGCAGATTTCAGCACCCCTCAAATGGATCATCCGATGTGGCGCTGTTCCAATCGGGATTGCCAGAGGCGACGGGCGAACACAACACGCCCATGCCCATCAGATGGACGGAGAGCGGGGGCGCGCCCATGGGCGCGCGTTGCACGGGCATGGGCGCGCGTTGTTCGCCCATAAAGAGGCGCGAATCGAACCTCGACCCGAAGGGCCCTCTGAAGGAGTTGCTCAACAAGGGCCCCGTGAACACCGCCCGCACCCTCCTCGCCATCGCCCATGCAGCAGCCCAGCATGCCTCGAGCTACGAGTCGTCGGACGAAATGGCCGCGCGCGTGGGGGCATCGAAGAGGACAGCCCAGCGCGTCGCTAGCGTCGCGCGGTCCATCTGCGCCCGCGTTGCCAAGGCAGAGCAGGACGACTTTGCCTGGCCTCGCGGGCGCCCCGTTGAGGCCGACGAGGCGTCGTTTCCGCATATTGCATCACCGATTCATGCGCGCGCGCGTCCTCGGAGACAGCGCCAGCTGGCGACGTTTTTCGAGCTGCCCCAGCGGGCCTGCGCACTCAGCGGGCCCGAGTGTGACGAGATCCTCCATTGGGTTCTCGCGCCTGGCATTCTCACGCTTTTGACGGATGGCGCGGGCGCGCGCCAGTCCGTGGCACCGAAAAGCCGCGATGCTTACAGCGACGAGAGCAAAGATCCCCCTCGTGTCAATGCCGACCGCTTCAAGATGCATTATCAGCATCTGAAGCTATCTCACGGCATGGTTTCTCACGATGCAGAGCAGCGGGCCGCCGTCGACCGAGTGCGCGTCGTGCGGCCGAACGGGCACACCGAGACTATTCATTTGGAAAAAGGCACGCAGTGTTCCGGCGGCCTCTGGCCTGAGACGCGCCGCAGCATCCCAGACAGCGCCCACGCTTCAGACTGGGAGCGCTGTCGCTCGTACTTGTGGGCTCGGGTGTGGCGCATGCGGAGGTCAGGTAACGACCTGCTACAGGAGTTTGGCCAGTCTGTTCGCAGGGAAAGAGACTGCATGCATCAAGTCTGCAAATCAGAGCGCGCAGCCCGCCCACGCGCAGAAAGCGCAGTCTGCGACCGCTCGCGCGCAGTTTCATCGGCGCCGTGCTTCTCCGCAACCCGCCCATGTGCAGAAGGCGCAGGCTGCGACCGTTCACGAGCAGTTTTTGTCGGCGCCTTGCTTGTCCTGGAAAGAGACACCAAAACCGCCCAGGCCTACATCGAATCTGCTTCGGGAGGAGGAGGAGGACGGAGAGAGGGCGGAGAGAGGAAGGTGGGGGGGGCCATTTGAGCTCCAAGCGGCGGCGCATCAAGGCGACTATGGCCATCAAAAGCTCTGCGTGGGGTCTTCCGGCGCGCGCGCGCGGAGGAGGGCAAAAGCGTCGTCAACAGGGCGGCCTAATGCCTGTGGCGAAAGGTACAAGGTTTGGCCCTGGGCACCAGAGGCGTTTGCCATCCTCGGCCCGCGCGGCCGCCGCGCCATTTCGCGCTGCTCGCGCCCAGAGCAGGTCGGGGGCAAGTGGGCAAAGCAGCGGTGGCGCAGACGTCAACGTACGCACGCTGGGCGTTTTGGTCATTACACACAACATCCAAGCGCAAGCGCGCGCGCTCAGTCTGCTCTTCCCGTCCACCTCCACCACTCGGTCCCACTTCGGAACGACCTGTTCGGTGCGCACTGGGGGGCCCGAGCCTCCTTCTCCTCCTCCTCCTCCTCCTCCTCCTCCTCCTCCTCCTCCTCCTCCTCCTCCTCCTCAAGGCCTGCCACAGGGTCGCCCTGGACAGGCTTAACAACAACTTCTGACTCTGGCCCCGCCCGCCGGCCGGCCAGACGAACCGCATGCGGGCACTGGCGCTCCTCCTCCTCCCCCTGGCTCTCCACTTCCTCCCTCGATCCTCCTTTCCGGACCTCGTCTTCTATCGCCCTCCTCTTTGAATCTGCCGCCCGGGGTTTTCCGTCGTCGGCCAGCCTCTCAGAACCAGGTCGTCAGTGCCTTTCTCTGTTCCAGGCGGGCCCGCCCAACGGCGGTAGACCCCCTTGGCAATCACAGCTTCGTGCGACATTCCAGCAGGCTCGCTTTGGCCGGGTGATCGGGGCCAGACTGGATCGCAGCATCACCAAATGGTATATCCCGGGGGGCGGAGTGGGGCTGGTGGATTAGGGGGAGATGAGAACAGCCGTGCAGCAGCTTCCGTTTGCGTGGCGTTCAGCAACCTTGAATTCGTGGGTCGGCGCGCGGACCACCTCCCATCGAATAGGGCGGGCTCACTCTGGCTGCATTTTCGGTTGCGGTTCGACTAGCAATTCTGTTTCGCACTACGTCCTAGAGTGTCCCAGGCTCTCCACCCTTGTCTCGGTTGTTCTCTCTCGCGAGGTCCCCCGGGATCCCAGGGTCAAGCTCGGCCTGCTTCGGGATATTGGCCGGGATGATTTCAATTTCACGCACACCGCATGCTCGTTTTCTGCCGCTCGGCTATTTTCAGCCCGCGGCAGCCCAATGCTTGCTGCTCAACACACGCCGCGGCTCGCTGAAACTGTCAGGGTCGCCCTTCGCCTGCCGCGGTTGGGGCCCCATGTTCGTTTCTGGGCTCAGCGTTAAGTTCTAAAGCGCAGCGACGGAGCACGGAACATGTGTTGCGCCTCCAGGCACGTTCCATCTCCTCCCCCCTCCTCCCCCCTCCTCCCCCTCCTCCTCCTCCTCCTCCTCCTCCTCCTCCTCCTCCTCCTTCTCCTTCTCCTTTTCCTCCTCCTCCTCCTCCTCCTCCTCCTCCTCCTCCTACAAAAAAACCCAGGAGCATCCAATTGGGTCCCCACCCACGTCACCGAGGGGAGCACCCGGGCGCTGGGGTTGCGGACTGTAAGCAACTGAGCTGTAGCGTTCTCCTCCTCCTCCTCCTCCTCTTCCTCCTCCTCCTCCTCCTAAAAAAGCATGGGGGGCACCCGGCTGGGTCCCCACCCCCGTCACCGAAGGGGGGGGTTGGGCTTTGGGGTTGCGGATTTTGAGCAGCGGATCTGCAGCGGTCCCCTCCTCCTCGTCCTCCTCCTCCTCCTCCTCCTCCTCCTCCTCCTCCTCCTCTTCTCGGTGTCCTTTTTTTCCTCCTCCTCCTGAGTTGTTTTTCCCTGTCAGAGAGCAGGTTTGTAGAAGATGGCAGCCTCGTTGGCTGTTTCAGGCCGCGCTCTACTTTGTCGAATACATTTGGGCCTGGTTCTCTAGTTTGCCCAATACACTGTGGCCTGGCTTTCTAGTCGGCAGCTAATTTCTCGCGGCTGCGCCCTGACTTGCCACTGAATTGTTATTTTCCGTATCGAGGCTACGGCCTCCACCGCCATGCCCCAACGGGCGCGCGCAGACGCCCACGCGGCGCATGCACGAGTTCCGCGTTCGTTTCGTTTCGTTTTCACTTCTTCCCCCTCCCTTCTCCACCTCCTCCTCCTCCTCCTCCTCCTCCTCCTCCTCCTTCTCCTCCTTCTCCTCCTGTTTTCTCCGTCTCCTTCCTCCTCTTCCGTCTCCTCCCTCCTCATCCTTCTTCCAGCTGCCGTCCCGGTTCGAGGCTTTGGGCGCAGTGCCCGCGGTTCCAGATACCGCCGCGCGTTGCGAGCCTCGCCCGCGGACAGCCGCCATACGCGCTGGCCGCCGTGCCCGCCTGGCGCGCTGCGAGCCAGCCGTGCCGCGAGCGAGCTCTCGCAAGGGTGACACGCCTCACAGACACCGACGCGGACGCACCGACCCAGCCTGGCGCCGACGCGCCCGCTGGCTGCGCTGACCAGCGAGAACGATTCGCACCGTCGGTTGTGCCCGTTGGTCGTGCCCGCGCGAGGATCGCGCTGACAGAGCAACGCCGTGTGCAGGACGCCACCGACCGCCTCGGCGCGCGCAACAGCACCGGCTTCATGTACGGAGTGGACGGAGGCAACGGCGGCACCGGTGGTGGCAAGGGCTCTGGCTTTGGCAAGGGCGCGGGCCCCTCTGGCGGACGTGCAGGCGGTGCTGGAGGTCACGGGCGTGCCTCGGGCTTGGGCGGTGGAGCGACGCCGCCATGGCATGTACCGCCACCACCGCCAGGATGGTGGTGCCCCGCCTGCGGCAAGCTCAACTCGCCATCCGACCTCCTGTGCCGGACGTGCTACCCGATGCCATCGCATGGGCCCAGGCATGGAGCTGGCAGCGCAGGCCATGGTGACGGTCGGCCTCCACGCCATAGGCGAACGGAGGACGACGGTCGTCCACCACGCCATAGGCGAACGGAGGACGACACGAGTCACGGCCGTCCGCGCTCTGGCTCTCGCCGACGCCGCCGCCGACAGTCCAGTGGCAGCGCGACGCGGCCGAGGTCGGCCTCTCGAGTGCGATTTGAGGACGAGCCAGAGCCAGAGTCAGCAGGAGGACGGAGGCGAGGAGAAGCTACAGACGACTCCGAAGCCGACGACGAAGTCCGCAGCCAAGCGCTGGGCATCTTGCCAGCGCTGCCGCAGGACGCTCAGGCGCATGTGTCCTGGGTGGACCAACCCAGGGACGAGCGCGAGCTGGCTGCACATCGGCGCTCGCTCCGCCAGATGGCAGCAGCCACAGGCAACCGGCTGCTCGCCGCCCGCAACGTCGGCATGTCCGACGAGCAGGGGAGGCCACAGGAGGAGGACTATGCAGTGCAGCTCTGCATGGTACTGAAGGCACGCGCGCCTGGCGTCAGGTGTGATCGTCAACGGTCCTCCGTACAGCGAGCTCAACGCAAGCTAGAGAAGGCGCAGACCCAGGCGGAGCAGGCCAAGAAGATCATGGAGGAGAAGGAGGCCAAAGTGCAGCAGCGGGAGGCGGCCCTCAGCAAGGCCAAGGCGCTGCTGGATCAACTCGAGGAGCTCGCGCCGTCAGCGGGCCACGCTATGGGCGACGGCGCCGAGGAGGACGAGCTCATGCCGCCAGCGGGCCCGACGCCGCCTGCTGGATCACCAGCCCCTGGCACCCCGCCGGACACGGCCCCGCCCGCGGCGGCCATCGCGGAGTTGCAGGCTGGGCAGGCGCAGCTCACGCGACAACTGGTCGGCCTCACGCGGCTGCTGACGACGATGCAGAGCCAGATGGCCGCCGCAGGTGCAGAGCCTGCGGCGGCCCCCGCCACGCTTGGGCACGCTGCACATGGGCATGCGGCATGCGAGCAGGCGCCCGCGGCCCCAGCCGCGGCCGCGCCTGGCGATGCCGCGGCGCCGCCGCGGACGAGGGCCGGCCACGCCGCCGCACCGCCTGCTGCCGCGGTTGCCGCCGCTGCAGTGCCCGAGGCGGCCAGTGACGGACAGGCGGGGTCGCCAGCGGCAGGAGGAGTCAGGCCGAAGCACCCGACGCCTGAGGAGGAGGGCCCGTGCGGCGGCGGCTCGACAGGCCAAGCGCGAGGCCGACCGAGCCCGCAGGCCCGCGGGGCAGCAGGGCTTGCGGGACGCCATTGCGCGGCAAGACGCCGCAAGTCACCGCGGGCGCGGAGCAGCACCACCTGCGCCTGCAGGGCGCGAAGAGATTGCAGCTGGAGCAGGTGAGACGGAGGCGGCCGACGCTGCGGCACGCCGACAGCGACACAGCCGCAGCCACAGCCCGCGCCGCGGCGCGGACGGCGAGTTCGCGGTCGTCGGTAGCGACGGCAACTCCGATGCGTCGACGCCGGGGCGATGCGGCCTGTCGGGCAGGCCACGTGGAGTGAGACGCATGAGACGCCCATGCCATCTCTCGGTCTGCCCGAGACAGGAGACAGGCCTGCCACGACGGCCGCGCTGCAGCATCAGATGGAGTCTGCGCTGTCAGCCGTCGTGCACCGTTGTCTGCGAGCTGGTCAGGCACTGTTGTCAGCCCTGGCAAGCTCGCGCCGCATCTCTCACCCCCGCCATCCTCGGCTCATATCTCGATGAACTTCTCCCTCCTACCATGTGAAACGCTAATCGGGCGCAGCTGGACTTCGAGCCGCTTTTGATTGGTGCTATGGCTATTGCCAAACATGGTTGCGTGGCACCTCGCCCTTACATTGAACAAGCTTGCAGATACCATAGCACGTCTTGTAACTACGGGGCTCGTGCCGACAACTGCAGATTACTTTCAACCGTGGCCAGCATCGACGACGGTCTTGGGGTATACCCGAATGTTGGTGCATGTGAAATGCCGCATAGGATCGACTCTGGGAAAGCCTCATGCGACGCAGCCAGCCTACCTGGAAACGTATCATACGCATAGGAGTGCATGCGCAGATTCAGTACCAGTCCAGGATCACGCTAGCACGCAAGTTGTGCAGAATTGCACGCGGCAAGGGTGCCCGCTCGCGCGTGCACTGATGACAGAGGCATCCTTGCGCCGCCGCCGCCGAATGAAAACATGCCCGCCATGGAGTGTCCATGGTGCGGGGCAGGGTCAACGCGACATCGGGCAATGCGCACGCAATTGGCACGCATGAACCGACAACTGTCGACACTGGCGAGAGTGTACGCTGGACACGACGGAGTGGGTATGATGTGCATGCTGAAGTTCAATGCCCGACCGCATCTAGTGGATAGTTGTTCGCTGGTGTCGCTGGACGCAGGCTAGTTTACGAATCACGATGTTTTGGGGGGCTCCTGGAAGTCTTGCCTCTTCAGATGGAGCAGCTCCGCGTTGTCAGAGTCTGCCAGGAGCCATATTTGAGCTGTTTGCCGTGTTTTTGACTGTCGGAACGTTCTGCTGGAGCTGGATGAGTTCGGAGTCTTGGAGGCGGATCGTCGTGGGTCTTTAAGGTCTTTCTTTGTAGAGTGGGACCCGTACTCGGTGCCGAAGTGTCTTTGATGCCCATTTTGTCGCAGCCCGATCTGGTCGGGCTCGTGTGGACTCAGAGCGGGACATGTGTCACCGCCCGAGCCCATGCCAG